CCACCCCACAATAGCTGTTCCACTTTGTGGTTTATAGTCCCCATGTTCATTCATTCATGCTTTCAGTTTTGAGCAACTACTGCATACCACCCTAGGCAGGGTGCTAGCCCCATACCAGAGCATAACACAGGATGTAGGGAGGTCAGGCCATGCCCACTCTGTGGGGCTTCTATACTGGGGAGGAGGCAAAGAGAAGCTGTCTCAGACTCAATACTGACACACCTATGAAATAAGTAAGTAGAAATGTTATTTTTTACATCACAAGCATCTCCTGAGGCTTAAAAAAAGCATAACAGTAAAATTCTAATTTATTATGTAGACATTTGGTATATGGGAAGGGGAACATAAATTTACTGAGTCCCTGCTATATGCCAGTAGCTATGAACTATGTTTTACTGACACCATCTCATCTTATTCTGTGCAGTTATGCTGTGAGCTAAGCTTTATTATGCCATTTTGCAGATGGAAAAATTGGAAGTTTGCAAAGGCAGCAGCAGAGTGATTATACACAGTGCATAGGTAGGCATTGAAAGCATTCTGCATGCTGGGAGCTGACTGGGTTAGATGCTGTGATCTGGCAGGGAGATGGACATTGTATGAGAATTACAGGTGGATGAATGACATGGAGGAGCAGGGAATTGGGAGCACAGAACAGGGAAAACTCACAGGTCAGAGGGCTGGGGAAGTCCTCTAAAAAGAAGTCATTTTAAAGTTGAGATCTGCTAGAGGAATTGGCATTGGCAAGGGAGCCAGGAGAGGTATAGCTAGGTGGGAGTGTGGGCTGGGCAGTGCGGCTGGAGCACAGAGGTGGGGGCAGAGGATGCAGGAGGGAGCCTGTGAGGTGTTCAGGCCGTGGGTCCTGCAGGTCACATTACAGAGCTGAGACTTCGAGTCCTGAGAGCCTCTGAAGTAACTCAAGCATGAGAGCAACTTGATCAAATGTCCATTTTGAAAGATCACTTTGGCTGCTGGATGGAAAAGAGAAAGTGGGGAGCAAGACAGAGGACCAATTAGGAGCTTGTTCTAATTAGGCTTGGTTGGGAGGTGACAGTGGCATCAGGAACTGGAGCAAAAACCATTGAGACAGCAGGAAGCAGCAAGCCTTTCTGTGACCAACTGGTAGGGAAGGCAAAGAAGACAGAGAAACCCAGGGCAGATCCTCAGTGTCTCTCTGAGAACAAGAGTATCTGGTGGCACCACTTTAGGAGAATGGGAAGAAGCACAGACAGGGGTAGGGAGGTGCCAGTGGATCCCAGAGATGCTGCCACCAATCCAGCCGTGTTGGAGCAGGGGGAGGTCATGTGGTAAAGATGTGCAGTAACCTGTGGGAACAGGAAGGCAAATGGGACACATCCTTTAACACCAGGGTGCTGGGCAGAGACTACTGAGGAAATTAGAGCAATTAGAAGCAGGCTAAAACCAGAGCATTGGGCAGGAGGAGTATAACTGGAAATGGGAGAACCAGAGAGCTAGCTGGCACCTGTCTACCCAGGGCAGTAACGTAACGGCAAAAGAAATCAGGCCCCAGTCTTCATGATCAAACTAAATCCTCTCCCAATCAAGCACCACTGTGTGGTCTGAAGAGTCTGACACTCATGGCTTGAGCACCCTGCTTCCCTCACCAGGCAGTGTGGAGAGGCCATTAGGACCCTCTCCAGAAACTCTAAGGATTATCCACCTCAGAGCAGAGTGTCAGGATGGAAGGTGGATATGGTTTTACAATTTTCTATACCTCCCCCCCCAAAATCACTTTCATGTGGAAGGAACTAAGCGTGTTGGATATGGCCTTTAGGGCTCCCATTTCTGAAAGCATCAGTCCCCAGTTCATACCTTGATCTGGGGCGCTGAGGGGTACCTTAAAAGGCAGGCATTTTTCTCCCACTGCCAGCCTGTGTATTGTGGCTGGAACACCAAATCTGTACAAATAGCTCTCTGAAGGCCATCTTCTTTGATTATTTTTTCTCTGGGATATATCAAGCTCCAGGCAGTCTGTACCTGACTTTCTCCTCTTAAGGACCATTCAGCTGAGGACACTGTGTGAACAGGACCCAGTAATTGAGTGCCTCCTATCTCCATTTCGGTTTTCTGATCTCTCTCGAGCCAGTGGCTCCCAGCTTGTGGACTTGTCCCTGAGTGACAGATTCACTCTTTCAAGATCCCAGTGACTGATTCCATCAGCCGTCCGAGGCCTGTGTACATCAGGGAGCCTGTGGAAAATTCATCAGTCCCGTAAAGATACAGATTACCTGCACATCTGTCAGGGTGTAGTTAAACATGACTGACTAATTTATCTTGTGGTGTAAGATTTCCTTTGCAAGTTGACTTGGCAATTTTGTCTGCTCAGAGAACATTTACAATAGACGGTATGCACAGAAATAGGGAAAAATAGATTAACTTTCCATTTTCAAACATGCAATTGATAGTAGAGCCCAGGTCTTACTCCCTTCAGTAAAACAGACCACATGCCCTGCTTAGAGCTGTGCAACATCAAAAGTGAGCATCTGATCCCCCTGGAGGCTCTGAGCCAGGACCCAGTCCTGCTACTCTGCAAAGCCAAGAATCTCTGCCTTTGGCAACAACTACTCCCCCTCCTGATCGAGGGGTGGCTGAGCACTGCTGTTTCCAGGTGGCTAGGGGGTGGTTTTCTCTCTCAGACTGTCTTAAAAGGCTGGAGGGAAGGATCAGAGGCACAAACGCCAGTGTCAGGGTGTCATGATGAGCCTCCAGGAAGTCTGCTGGCTTCATCCAGGGCTGCTCAGTCCAGCATGCTGCTGTGGTTGGGATCCTCTGCCTCTGTACTTTCCAGCATGGATGTCGCTAGCCATGTGTGAACACTGAGAACTCGGAATGGGGTGGCACAACTGAGGATTGAAATTTTAGTTAATGTAATTTTAATAAATATCAATGGCCACATATGGCTAATGGCAACTTATTGGATAGTATAAGTACCCCATTTTTACCTATTTCCTATGTAGGCAAAGCTGGGTTTGTTTAGTTTGTTTGTCTTACTGATTTTCTGAATGCTGTGATGCTAATTTGAAGGTTGCTGATTCAATTTAGTAATAACAATAGTAAGAGAACAATTATAGCTGGTCCTTGCTGAGTAGTTACCATGTACCCCGTGCTTTGCTAAGAACTTTACACACACTGTCTGGTTTCAGTCATGTAATGATATTATCATCCTGAGTGTACGGGTTAGGAAGTCGAGGGGCCGAGAGGTTATGTGGCTTGTCTGAGGTCACCATCCGGTGAGTGGCGAAACTGGCATTCACTTCAGGCAGTGGGACTCCTGAGCTGTCACCCTCTGTTGCCTGTCAAGATATTTCTTAGCGCCATTTCTTGGCTGGTGTTTTAAAATACAGCAATGCCTGGTTGTTAAAAGTAACACTGTGTCTTGATGTCATTAACGACTTGGATGGAAACAATGGACACACATTCATCCTGGGGTGTGCAGAGTTTGAATTCTGGACCCCAGCTGGAATGAAAGCAGCTGCCATAAAGGGGGGTGCTCAGGGGGCTCAGATCAAGCCTGGGCCAGGTCACCTCACCTTTAGTATGGTGGGAAGAGACCTTCCCTGCATGAGGTCTGGGAAGCTGGTCTCCACCAAACCCCAGGTGCAGACTGCAGACTGTAAACTGAGATCTGTATGGTGGTGTTTTCTTCTGGAGAGGGTTCACCTCGTCCTTTAGACCCATGGGGCTCATCACCTTAATTCAGTCAGGGGCTATGCTGATCCAAGGCTGGTTCTGGAGTTTTGGTGCGTCTCCACTTAATTCTCCTCCATTACCGCCTCCAGGGCCTCCAGTGGGGAGTCTGCATTGTCCCCAGGCTCCCTCTGTTCTGGCAGCCTCAGAGCCCTGACCTGAGTCTCCTCAGCACCGGGAGCCATTTAGAACTGGCCTCTGGCCTCTGCCCCACTCCTGCTTGACTCCCTAGCTGCCTGCTCCTGGAGCTTTAGAATTTGGGGAAAGTGATAATTGTGGAGTTCGGTTCCTTGTCTCTCGTGACTCAATGGGATTTTGGGCTCTCAGGTCTCTGAAATCTGTCTCTCCAAGTGCCAAGGCTACCACATGCATTGCTGGATTTTCTGTACCTTGGTAGCAGCCCACTGCTGGACCCATTGCTGAGATTCTCAGTATCCAGATTTAGCTATGCCCTGAGGGAAAACTGGGGAGAGGGGCTAGGGAAAGACAGCTCCCTTCTCTGTGCCATTTCCCCTCCCGGGACTTCTCTCAAGTCTTATGTCAGCACTCAAAGAGACCTTCAAATGCTTTTCACCCCCCTCCTCACCTGCCTACCTGTTCACCCACCTGTCTGGATAATCTCATTCTCAGGAGGAGTATCCATCCACCCCCAGTGACTCTGTCTTGCCCTGTCAGATGAGCTGGGTAGTTGTAGATAGGCTGAGATAGAAAGGACTCTTTCATGGAGGAGGTGTTCATCTGATTATAGTGGAGAGTCAAGAATGAGACCACAGGAAGCCTAGCACAATGGGCCAAATCTACACAGGCAAACTTTGGGCTAAAGCAAAGTTGAGAGTCTGCTATTACCAGGATTATCTGGTATCCTAGGCAGCTCTTCCTCAGAGCGCTAAATATTCCTGGGTGTTAATCTCTTAGCTTGAGTTTAGTGGAAAATGTAATCTTCTCTAGTAAAACTGCAACAGCAAGCTTTATGCTGTTAGCAAAAGGGATCCGTGACAGTCCTTGGAGGATGCTGTGCAACTGGGAGACCACTGCATCTGGCTTTTACAGCTCGGAGGCTGTCCAAATTCAAGTTCTGAACAATTGCTGCTTGCCCTGGGAGTCAAGGCTCCCTCTTTGTCATCCTCTTTGCCTGTGATAACAGCATCCTTTGGGGTGTTTTCGGAGTGGGGCAGGATTATATCACAGATGGACAGGGAGGTTCGCTCTGAATGTGGCTTTGCCAGTAGCCTCACCTGGTGCACTGAGGGCAGAAAGCCACAGAGTGAGTGATTATTCTGCTTGCTCTTCTCCAGCCTGCACAGACAAGGAATTGAGGAACCTTGCTTCCCGGCTGAAAGACTGGTTTGGAGCCCTTCATGAGGATGCCAACAGAGTCATCAAGCCCACCAGCTCTGACACTGCCCAAGGCAGTAAGCACTCTTTACTTTTGCTCATTTATTTCATTTTAAATATTGTATTTATTTCCTCAGTTACTAGACAGTGATTCAGCAACATCAATTTGGGGTGAGAAAAGAAACACTGCATCATGCGTACACACTGACTTTAGAAATGTCTCAGAAATAGTCAAATACAGAGAAGGGGGAGATGCTTTAGAATCAAGAAAACATACAATGTATGCTTATAAAAGCCTGATTTAAAAAATATAGTGCATAGACATTTTGACAAATGCATTAAATATGCACAAAAATATGAGAAACATATCACCTCACCGTTTTAACAACTATCAGCATGTTGCGGTTATAGACCTTGAAGTTCTTCATTCCCTGTCATATAGGAAAGTGTATGCGCATAAGTACATACTTTTCAGACTCTTTTATAACCTTTTATCCCTTAGAAATAAATTATGATTTTTTTTCATACTGTCAAGTGGTATTCTGCTTTCTAATAGCTACATACCCCAATTTATGGATCTAACTATTTAATTCAATCTTTGGGGGACATTTGAGTAGTTGCCAGCATTCAGCGGTAATATGAGCAACACTGTAGCCAGTATCTTCCATAATGTAATAGACTGACTTGTTTTCTACAGAAGCTCCCAGACAAGCATCCCCTTTTCTGGTCCACAACATGCAGAGTTCTCAGGGAGCCTCCGTCTGGCTTCAGCTACTCAGTTAGCAGAGACCACACTCAGCTTTGCTGTGAGCTGAAGACAAAACTCAGAGTGAGCCCTCATATTTGCACTTTTAGGGTCTTCTTGATGCTTTTAATTCAAAGGTGGTTGTGGTGTAATCATCCCACACTGCGGCCAAGCAGTACAGCATGGATTCCTAAACAACACAATTGTTCTAAAGCGTATAGTTTTGCCATAGCCTTTTCTATGCAACCATCTTTATATTATTTGGTCAAAATAAGAAAACACATTTTTTAAAACATTGAGCATTTCACCCCAGATCCCACACTGATTTGGGCAGACTTTCTGAAAGTATTGCCCCCGGAGTGAGTGCAGCAGGTAAGAGGGGACCCTGGCACCGCTGGGACCCAGAGTTTGGCTAGCATCTGGTCATCAGCCAGAGTAAAAACGGTCTCCTTCATCTTCGTGAGTCTTTGCTGCTCATGGCTTTCTAGAGATTCAGTGAAGAAAATCCAGGGGACAATTATTTTAATAATTTGGACCTTTTGCCTTCAGGGAAAGATAGTGTTTGCTTCTCAGAATCTCTGTCCCAAGAGTGGTTCTTGATAGTTCCACTATGCAGGAAGGATGAAGGCCTTTTTTTTTTTTTTTCTTCCATTCCTGCCAGAGGTTCCTTGGGAGTTTGTGGATTATTAATTCATAAATAGTCTAGAGAAACTTTTCTCCAGGATCCTCCAGGAGCTGCCTGGCCCTTGGGGTTTCCAAACGTCCTTTCAACAAAGAGCAGATTGATATGAGGAGAGCTGTTCCTACAGCCTCTGGTCCCCTGAGATCTCTCTGAAAGATCTGCCCTTGGCCAAAAGCAAATTGAGTCCCTGAAGAGGCTTTTAGGTTTGTTACCCTGAAGCAGCTGGAGTGAAGGGAATGTAAAGGAACGATGCTTGGTTAGCCCACAGGGCTGGAGGAGGGAGCTACAGTTTTGTTCGTCCAGGAGATCTGAAGGGGAAGCCTGGAACCTTGCCCTGTTTCTGGTCGTCGGGGTTACAAGAACTCCTGTGCTTCCCCTGGACCCCAGACAGCCACAGGGGCCAGACACCGGCACCCCTTCTCTAGAAACCTTCCCAATGGGACTGGGCTGGGATTGACTTTTTGGCTACTGCCCAACCAGCTTGGCACTTCTTGGTGACCAGTCAGCAGGAAATGCCCCTTTCCTATATACTAAAATGCCAATACCTTATAAAATTGATGCATATTATATAAAATACTCCACATAAAAGTGTGGAACCATGCAGTGTCAGAGTAAATTACTGTCCCTTACAATGTCAATATCCTATAAAATTGATGCATGGTATGTAAAATATTCTATATAAAAGTGTGGAGCCACGTAGCGCCAGAGTACATTATCTTCCCTCATTCAGTAAAGCCTGAGGACATCGCTACAGAGACCGTTGGTGAGCCTGAAGTTCAGTCAAAGAAGGGGCCACATTGTGTCCTGTAACCTATTTTCTGGGAAAAGGGGGATATTTTTAATATGTGTTCTAAGATACTGAAATAATTTAAAAATGGAAAGATTTTATTTAAACGGGTAAACGCTACAGAAAATTTCTCCCAGCAAATACTTTCTATATACCTGTCATGGCTGAAGCTACTGAAGGGGACAAGACAGCCTTTGCCCTCAGGGAGCTGTCATCTGATTAGTAAGCAGGGACAGTGAGGGAAACACAGGGTTCTGTGAGCGGTCAGAGGAGGAGGCGCTGAACTTACTCTACTGGCTCTGGACAGTGAAGACCTAAGACCTTTCTGTAAAGACACTGTTTTTAAAAGGGGGCATGCACTTTGCTGTGTTGTATGTCCCACTGACTAAACAGGGGTTCCCCATGATACATTTAGGGACCCAATGGCTGGGCTGTGGTCAGGAACTGCTGGAGTGGGCAGTTGACCCCACAGGATCCTCAGTTCATAGCCCATTTGCATTGCCCATCTCCAAACATGGACCCTCAGCCAAGCAGATGGCCTCAGGGCAGCAGGGTCGAGGAAGGCAAAAAGGCAGCCCCAGGAGAGCAGACTTGGAAACTCTAAACTCACGATCCGGCTGCCTGGGTCCGAATCCCAGATCCATCATGGTAGGACCTTGAGCAAGTAACAACTCAAGGCTTGAGCCTTACTTTTTCTTTTTTTCTTTTTTATTTATTGAGACAGAGTCTCACTCTGTGGCCCTCTGTAGAGTGCTGTAACATCATAGCTCACAGCAACCTCCAACTCTTGGGCTCAAGCAATTCTCTTGCCTCAGCCTCCCAAGTAGCAGGGACCACAGACACCCACCATAACCCCTGGATTTTTTTTTTTTTTTTGATAGAGATAGGGGCTCACTCTGGCTCAGGCTGGTCTCAAACTTCTGAGCTCAGGGCAATGCACCCACCTCAGCCTTCCAGAGTGCTAGGATTATAGGCGTGATCCACCACTCCCAGCCGAGCCTTACTTTTTCATCTGCAAAGTAGAGATGATATAGCACCATCTCACAGGACTACTAACAAAGATTCACTGAGATGACTGTAAAATCCATAGAAGAGTGTTCTATACATAACCACACAGAAGTTAATTTTTATCATCAGTATTCCAGGAAAATAAAACCAGTCCTGGAAAACCAGTGAATAGAATAAACTGAGATTATATGGTTCTGAAAGAAGGACAAGTTTAGATTTGGGGCATGCCTTTGCTGGGGTTTATCTACAGTGGACTCAGTAATCTCTAATGTTGAGCCAACTGCATAGTTTCCATTGTGGGGACAAATAATTCTCTAAGAAAACTACTCCTTCCCCGGGGAAATAAGAAAGAAATTATTGTCTGAATTGATTTGGATTCCATCTCATGTATCTCTTTAGGGGATTTCAGAAAAGAAGAATGGGGAACAGAGGCAGGTACCTGCTTTGTTTTGCCATTACTGTTCAGACTGCTTGGATATAATGGTCCTCTGGGATATAATCAGTGCTTCTGGATTATGCTGTGATGTTTCATTTCACTGCTATTCTTTTAAAAAGATTTTGTTTGAGTTCTTTTATTTTTTCTCCTTAAATATGAAAGCATAGTTTTTAGTATTTTAAGTTTTACCTCTCACCATGTTTATATTCTTTCTTTCAAACATACCTTGTTTTAAGCAAGTTTAGTAGATGAAAACCCATATTTACATCATAGATGTATTAGCATTAGGGATTTGTTCCCTTTTGAACATATTTTTACTTGAATGCTAACTTCTGTTGTAGTGCATTTTAAAATGTTTCATTTGGAAAAATACAAAATATTCTGGAGTACCACTGAAACTATACCCTGGGAAGGAAATAGCCTCAGGGGAGGAGTAAGCTGGGGTGTGTTTTTGGCCTCTTCTTGGGGGCTGAAGGCTGGGAGTGATCAGGGTGGCAAGGACCAAGGTAGATGGCAACTGCGATGTTCCCTTCCCTCGCAGGGTTTGATACCAGCATCCTGCCCATCTGCAAGGACTCCCTGGGCTGGATGTTCAACAAGTTGGACATGAACTACGATCTCCTGCTTGACCACTCAGAGATCAATGCCATCTACCTGGATAAGTATGAGCCCTGTATCAAGCCTCTCTTCAACTCTTGTGACTCCTTCAAGGATGGAAAACTCTCTAACAATGAGTGGTGCTACTGCTTCCAAAAGCCCGGAGGTAAGGCTGGAGAGAAGGCTGGGGTTCAGAGTCCAGGACAACCCTACTGCTGAAGGACAGATGTAGGCAGAGAATAAATAATTCATCCCATTTCATGGAAGTCCCGAAGGCCTACTTCTCCTAATTTATTTTTGTTTTTAATGTAGTATATTAGAAAACCCAAGGGTGGAATCAAGGACTCTGTTAATTTCAGTCTGTTCCTCCATTTGGGAAAATCTCATAACTGTATAGTCTCAGTTTTTTCATCTATAAAATGGATATAGAAATCTTCACTACATGATTCCCAAAGGCATCATGAGACTCTCAATGTGAAAAATACAATATGAGTGTTACTGATACTTGTCCCTGAGGGTGAATCAGAATGATGAATTAGGACAGTGGTTTGAGGAAGATGAGAGAGAAGTTTATTAATTTGCCAGTGAATGGGGAGGGTGGCAGACTAGCCTCTCAAAATATCATAGTCCCATCTTTAAGCAGAAATATAGGGGCTTTTAAAGGGGGGAGGGGTTTCAGAGTGTTGGTTCAGGTAGCAGCATCACATGTCATAGCTTTGGGCTTTAGCTGTTTAACAGTAGTTAGTGGTTTTGATCACCTTACCTGCAGGAATAATTGAAGATGATCTGCATGAAGATGATCTCGTGACCTCTGGACAATTCTGTTGAATCATCTACTATGGTTTAAGATACTAGAAAACAAAGAACATTTTTGTCCCCCTTTGATAACAGGCCTCAAAGGCAAGTTTTAATTCCCCAAAAGTGTGTGTGGGGAAGTTCAAAGAGACAAATTGTAAAACATTTTGCCCTTTTTCAGACCTTTACCTCTGTTACAAGAATATCACAGTTCCAATTATCACATGAATTTTCTGTGTTTCCCTTAGAGAAAACCATTAGTCAGCTTCTCTACCATAAGTGTATATTTATACTGAGTGTCTTAGACAAGGATATCTTGATCATAAACTTCAGTTAACAAATTAAACATACAAGATTTGGGGGCTTGGCTGGGTACCCGTAGCTCAATGGATAGAATGCCAGCCCCTTGCATCAGAGGTATTGGGTTTAAAACCAGCCAGCACCTGCTGGCCAGGGCCTGCTAAACAATAACAAAAAAAGATTTGGGGGTTAGATGAAAGGATACCAGGGTATCTCATGTAACCAAAGTCAGACAGGGGATCATCCTGCAGGAGAGTTGGACTAGGGACAGGAGGATTCACAGGAGTCCAGCAGCAGGTGAGGCATGTACAAGTATACTGGCAAGACTGGCCTGTAGCTTTACCCCACGTTCTAGCTTGGTCCACCATGAGCCAGATATTTGGGACAAATTACCATGGCCTGGCGGTCCTACCCTACACCCAGGAAAGGAGGATAGCAGCTAATATTTATATTGTGAATACATATAGGCATAGACAATATATACGTACAGTAACCACACATAGGCATTGCAGGAGGGCATCCAGGGAAAATTAAGTACCTGTATATACACTTATATACATGTATATACAATTGTACACTTATAGAATAATAAGATCCATTCCTAGAAGAAAAAATAATAGTCAAAAGGCATGTGCCTTTTTAAATTTGAGCAACATTTCTAATTCGACATCCAAAGAAGTTCTGCAGTTTTTTACCCTCACCAACAAATATAAGAATACCAGTTTCTTCGTGGCATTACCAAACTTTGTGATCATTGCCCAACTGAGGGTAAAGAAATTACATCTTTTCATAGGCTATGTTTTATTTTTCATTATGAGTTAGATACATCTTGAATTTCCTTTCCCTATATATGTTCTTTGTACATTTTTTTCTATTAGGCTCTTGTGTTTGTTTTCAGTAGGAAACTCTATATTAAGGAATTAAAGCTTTTCTAGTCAGAGATAGTACAAATATTTTTTATGAATTTGACTTCATGTATTTTTTTTAAGGAGACATTTAAAATTCTAAGTCAAATTTCTGCATCTTTTACTTTATGGCTTCTAAGATGCAGTAAAGCTTACATTAAGCTTAGAAAGATATTTTTTGCTTGAAGATAGTAAAACAATTCTCTTATGTTTCCTTCAATACCTTTGGGTTTTGTTATAGAAATCCTTTGTCCAGATTGTGTGTGTGTGTGTCAGTCAGGTAGGTCCCAGCCCTTCCTCTGCCCTGGAGATGGTGCCCAGTCACCCTCATCTCATTTGTTGACTAACTCACGTTTCCTCCCTTCAATTTGAAACACAGTTTCCCTCTTATATATATGGTATACATAAACTCCTTTATATATTTATACCTGTGTCTGTCTGAATACTCTATCCTACATAACTATTCATAAGTCAGTTTTAAACTCTTTAAATCACCATTGTTTTCCAATGTTTTAACACCTGGTTAAACATTAATCTTTGCTCAGAATTTTCCTGGTTATTCATATATGTTTCTTTCCTCAGTGAACTTAAGAATGAGTTTATCCCATCAAAAAATGTTTGTTGATTTATTTTTAATATCAGACAAAATTAGATTAACAAAGTGAGAATTGATAGCTATATACAGCTAATACTAAATCTTTTTATTTTAGATTAGGATCTGTGTATCACATCAACCAGTTGAATTTGTACGTTTTAAGCTTTATTCTCATAGATGTTGTACTTCTCTTGTGTTTATTATCTTTATAACTGAAATAGATTATTTCTCATTGCACCGCCTTATTGGTGGTTGTTTCAGCATTAATTCTGTTCCAAATCACCTTAACAAATTCTCATTTTGCTTATAAGTTATTCTGGTTGGTTTGCTTAGACTTTTCAGGTGTGCAATCATATCTGCAATAATAATCCTCTTCATTTTCATTTTTTATACCTCATTTCCTTCTCCTTTCTAATTACATCAGCTAGTACCTACAAATCAATACTGAATTATAGCCATTGTTTAATATAAATACTTGTAGTGATTCAGTATTAAGCCTAATAATAGCTTCAGGCTCGAGTTTATATGAAATCATGATTTTAGCCTGGGTTTCTAAGAACACAGAGCCTGTGTGCTAAGGCTCCACTTGGGCCATCTCTGCATGGGCTACCATTTTGGCAATTGGTAGAGTAAGCCAGGACCATCATAATAACTGCTACCCTTTTTTTTTTAGGTTTTTTTTCCTTTTATTTATTTATTTATTTATATTTTTATTGAGACAGAGTTTCACTTTGTGGCCCTCGGTAGAGTGCCATGGCATTATAGTTCACAGCAATCTCCAACTCTTGGGCTTAAGTGATTCTCTTGCCCTAGCCTCCCAAGTAGCTGGGACGATAGGCACCCACCATAATGCCTAGACTTTTTTTTTTTTTTTTTTTTTTTGGTAGAGACAGGGCCTCACTCTGGCTCAGGCCAATTTTGAACCTCTGAGTTCTGAGCAATCCACCCACCTCAGCCTCCCAGAGTGCTAGGATTACAGGTATGAGCCACCACACCTGGCCATAACTGCTACCTTTTATATTCCAGATAGAATTTGTGTGTCCTTTTCATTGTCATTTTCAGTTGGCATCTTTCTTAAATAAGAAGCCAACAAAATGATTTTTTTCAACCAGTTTCTCTCATAGAACAAGAAGCAAGAACATGTGACATTGTGCAATCTCAGGGTAAGAGATGTAAACAGGTGCTCTGATTCCTTATATACAAGTACAGGCTTGTAGAAAGAGGCAGTATGTGCCATGGGTTAGAGCCTAGAACAGTGATTTCCAACCAGAGAGCCAGGAGAGGATCTTAGGTGCTCCGTGAAATTTTTAAAAGATCATTAATTACATTAAATTATTTTTGAAAGAACTTCACAGTTAAATATATTCCTTTTTTTTTTTTTTTTTTTTTACTTTTTCTTGATTAATATAATTTAAGTGTGCTATGGAAGTTTAACTGTAGGTTCCAGTGTGCTGTGAGATAAAAAAAGGTCAAAAAACACTGGCCTAGAGATTCAAAACTCCTCTGTCAGTGCCAGGCGGACCATGAACAAAGAGAGCCACGGGATCTGCAAAGCCAGGTCAGGACAGGACTCCACAGAACTAGTGGGGTCACCTTTCATTTTCTTCCCTAGAGAGGTCACCATATGCCACATGGTTCTACACACCACCCCCACCCCCACCCCAGCCATGCGGCTCCTGCTCTGTCTTTGCCTTGAGAACTGGTGGGCTCCTGCAGGTTGATACAATATGCACTGTACAGCTGAGGACTTGTGAAGAGACTTGCCCACACTATTCATCCAGGAAGTAGCAGAACCAACCTGGTGTAAAGTCCTGTTCATACCTGCTGCCCCACTGCCTCTCCAACTCTCTTCTGTATCTCCACTGTTTTCCTGCGGGCCCTGTGTTTTTCTTTTCTGGGGTAGTACACCTTGAGGTCTGAAGCAGCCATTCTGATCTTCTTTCTCTCCAGCAGTAACACCTGGGATAGGGAGTATTTGTCATCGCTGGTTAGTTGTTCTATGGATTCAGGACACTTCCCCACTGCTAAGACTTAGCCCTGGTTTTCAGCTTGCAGAAGCCTTAGCTGGCTACTTCCTTCCTCATAGAAAAGAAAAAGTCCATTGATAAATCACCTCTTAGACACCTGGTATTTGAGTTGGTGGTAGGAAGAAAAATGCCCACATGGTGCAAGGACACCCCAAATACTATTTTAGGTACCTCGTGGTATGAGGTTTTTTTGTTTTTTAATTAATAGCACTAATGGCCTGGATTTGTTTTGTTGCGTAGTAACGGCATATGGAACACCTCCGCTCCCAGGTGTGTCATTGTCTGCCTTTCACATCAAGAGTGAAGTCAGTCATTAGAGATTATATGCCATACCATCTGGAAACTGACTTTCATAAATTATTTTTTAGGTCTCCCTTGCCAGAATGAAATGAACAGAATTCAGAAGCTGAGCAAGGGGAAAAGCCTGTTGGGTAAGTACAATTTCTTGCCACTCGTTTAAACAACTAATTAAACCATCTACATCTCTTGTTCTGTTCAGCATGGCAGTGGTTATTCAATTAGGGCTGCTGTCTCTTGAAAGAAATGCTTTTTTTTATCCAGAGAAGGACTCTTCCCAGCAGCTGGCAGTAGGGCACAGGCAGCCAGACATGAACAGAGGACTGGCTGGACAGTTGGGAACCACTGGTGCTCCACCAGCAAGAAGAGAGGCCTGAGGTCAGGCAGGACTGGTGGATAGCTCACCAAGGACAGGAGTCAAGCACTATCTCCACTGCTAACTCCTCCCTCATTTGGAACTACAATATACCTTGCTTTTCTTTTTCTTAAGTAAGGTCATTGAGTTTTAGTTCTGAGCCCTCCCCTCTCCAGGACACGGAGGAATTCATGGCATTCAGATGGGCCATCACCAAGATGTTGGCAATCCTCATTTGTTTGAAGAAAGGAGTCTGCTTTGCTTTTCTTGCTTTTTAAAAAAGAGCTGACAGCTGCAACACAATAATTCAGAATTATTCCTGATAAGCATTCAGAGGCAGGTGCATCCCCTAAGCAGCCTGCCATTTCAGAAGTTTTTCCATTTACTTGAAGGAAATGGGCAAGTTTTCTTGCAGATTGTCAAATGTAGGCAGCCTGTGAACTCTGGAAATTTCTCTTCTTCTGATTTTTTGGGTCACCTCAAAATGCATTCTCCCTTCTCCTTTTGAAAATTATTTATTTCCCTGACATACTTCATACTTTTGAATTCTGATAACATCCTATTCAACTTAGAATTCCAAGGTCATCCTGCTTTGTGCTGCCTTGGCCTAGGTTCTTCTCCTGTGTAAAAAGACAAAGACATCTTTCTGGTCTGAAGACAGAACAGCTGCCTCCTCCTCCATAGGTTTATCCAGCTCAGGGCCTTGTGCTTCTTGATCTCACCCCACTGTGTGGGATGTTATTTTGGGTTTAGTAGTTGTAGAACTAGCATATCGCTATTTTTTTTAATGTTGTTTTCATGGGATATAGGTATCTTGCAATTGCCTCGTATGAGACATACATGTCTCTTTTTCCGTTTACCCCGGCACACATGAATGAAATGCCTACCTCTATCCGACATGAACCCCACCATGTTTTAAAGCTTGCTTCATCACATCGCCCACATATGGAGATTACCCTGGCTAACTCAGATAAAATGCCATTTATTTGCTTACAAATTCCTTTTTGCATGGGAAAATCTCTTAATATAATAGCTGCATGCTCAGGGGCATACAGATTCAAATAAATAAAACAAGCAACAACAAATTATCATCAATTATAATCACTGCCTACTTAGAAAAAGTAATAATCCTATTACATTATAGATTTAGAGCAGCACCTGCTCCTTTCCAACCTGTAGGCTCAGCCCAATCCTTTTCCTTTCGGTTCATTAAATGCTGTTGTTTTCCAACTACAGCTCAGCAAGAAGAATCAGCATTTCCCCAGCTCCCTACTTGTTTTCTTTCTTTGCAATCCTTGGTTGAGAATCCGTTCACAAATCTCTCTGCCTTTTGGCATATTAAGAGCATTGACTTTCTTTTGGGGGAGCATCTACTCCCTGAAAACGTAAGTGAAAGGTATAGCTTTACCCAATAACAGCCTTTCCTTGAGTGATAGGTATGGCATTCCAGGGACTTCTGGGGGACCTTCCTATACACGATCTCATTTGGTCTCTGAGAAGCTTATCTTCTTGGACTAGCCTGTGAGTAAAGTGTTAAAGAATAGATCTTAGAGTCAGCAGGATCTGAATAAATCCAGGTTCAAAATAGTAAAAATCTCTTCTTCCCATGTTACACTTGTTTCTGTGATCATTCCCCAAAATGACAGGTAAACTTGAAAGCACAGGTGCTCTAAAACACAGCAGAAATAAAGTTTCATGAGCTGGTAAAGACCATACTACTGCCCAGATCCCACTAGAGAACACGGTCAGGGGGCACGCATAGCCCATAAGGAAAACCAAGGATAAAACCTCTTATAAATAAGGTTACCTACAAGACAAAGTGCTGAGGTGAAATAACTTTGAACGTACAATTTTAAACTCATCCAATGATGATTCGAGTGGGATGATGGTTCAGAAAGCTTACTAAACACGGATTTACTTAAGTGTCACTAAGGGACTCACACCAGCAGACAAATGATCCCAGAAAAAATTATTCAGATGCAATTGTAAGAAGGAAATGGCAGCCAACAAAATAAAAATGTTTTGATAGCAAGATAGAAGTGATTCCAAAGTGGTAGGAATGCATTTGTTCAGAAAGAAAATATAGATTAACTTTAGACCTCACTAAGAAAAAGCTATTCTTCTCTATAGGAAAGTTAAGGGTAACCACAAAAATATGAAGAAAACTTAATAATTTCCACAGAAGTCAGGAAATGGGGAAAATGATAAACAGAAAACAAACACAATGGCGGAGAGGAGCAAGCATTATCTGTAATCACCATGAATGAGCCAAATACATTTGTCATGAGACAGACTATCCATTGGTATTTTTTTTAAATTAAATCATAGCTATGTGCATTAACACATTTATGGGGTACAATGGGCTGGTTTTATATGCAATTTGAAATACATGAAACTAGTTAACATAGCCTTTACCAGACTTTCTTAATTATTGTGTTAAGACATTTATACTCTACACTTAGTAGATTTGACATGTACCCTTGGAGAGGTAGGCCTGAAAGTTGAAGTTAAAAAAACAATAGATACCCCTTTTTATAACATTATCAACTTGCTTGCAATGTTCTTTTTACCATATTATCCTATCAATTGATGAGGAATGTGTTGCTTAGTGACAGGGGTATGTATGTACTGAGAAATGTGTTGTTAGGCAATTTCATTGTTGTGTTATTTGAGCCCTTACTTGAACTGTAAGTTTCAAGAAAAGCCATGTGAAATAAAATTAATTAACATTCACATGTATTTAGGCTCATAGGAAGCTGTAGATTCAATACCTAACACACATGAAGTAGCTGCCATGAACTATACCACAAAAACTCAACACATTTCAAATAAATGACTGCAGATCAAATTCACTGGCTATGGCACAATAATAATCTCAGTAAAAAACAAGATTACCAAAACTCCATATAGCTGGGGATTTTATAGATACATATTGGTCAAAGCTGAAATAAAGCAGAAACTAAAATACATTTAGAACTGAATGGAAATCTATGGGATACAACCTTCATAGCTTCAAAACTAGATTTTCAACTCAAAAAGCTATGAAAACACCACAAGAAACTGAAATGATTAAAATTAAAGCAATAAAAAAGTAAAATACACAGACTTGACAAAACGAAAGCCTCAACTACTGACATGAAGGTAATATCGGGATAGAAACTCATATGTACGGGAATACCACAAATTTGTGGTTCTCAAACTTCAGTGTACACCAGAGTCAGGCGGAGTAATAGATCAAGATCAATATTATCAAGAAATAGATCTCTGGGTTCTGTTCTCTAAGGTTCTAGTTTAGTATGTCTGAAGTGGGGTCCAGGAATTTGCATTTCTAAGGGGTTTCCTGGTGATGCTGTTGGGCCTGGGACCCCACTTTGGGAACCACTGCTATAAACCAATTCATAATAGTTATGAAACCCTAGATGAAATGGGTGTTAGTTACTAAATTTATACTCGAAATGCTACTTTTGCCCCCAACTATGTACCAGACCCAAAATATTTTAATGGGAAAATACTTCAGGGAAGAGATCATTTTATATAAAATGTCTAAAGTATAGAAAAATACCTAAATAATTTTATAAATTAAGACTGTCAACAGAAAAACTGAACAAAATACAAAAAACTTGTATGCCTTTACCACCTAGTTATATATTTGCAGAAAGACCCCTTTATTTTGGGGAAGCAAAGGTAAAGTTTTGTAAGATTGTGAAAGTACGTGAGGCAGAAAATCCATATGATTTTCTAAAGTGTTAAAAAATGTAATTAATAACAGAACCCATTCAGGATTTAAAGGGAAAGATAAAAACTCATCACAGAGACAGAAGGAATCCTGCTTAATCTTGGACAACTCTAATTTATCACTATTTTTGTCTGTAAGTAGGGAGGTAGTAATAGCACCGACACCACCTCATGGTGACATTGAGATGGCCCCATGAATAAAGCAAGTCAGCTCTTAGCTGTTATTGCCTCTTTGTTAAAAGCAAGATGGCAGTGGGAAGAAATGGCTGGGAACTGCATGGTCCTTGGACTGTATACACTCTGCTACAAGTCAGACTAAGTACAGAGATGGGTACATTTACAAAGTTTCATAGTAATCTTACAGAATCACTTTATGGAAAGTATTGGTCCATGAAAAACTGGAAACTAGAAACAAAAACAGGTTCTTGATCACAGGAGTTTGGAAAGTGCAACTTTGCAGTCACATTGAAGAATCTGAATCCTGGACTTCAATTTTCTATTGATTAAAAGGCAGTAATGTTACATACCTCTTAGGCTTGTGGGGATTAGAGAGTGTGAATATTTGTGTGTATATATACATACATATACACATATGCCTGGTAATATCAGTGCCTAGAATACAGAACAGATTAGCAATCATCATGCCTGCTTAAAAACTGAATTCCTTAGAGTTCAATGCATTCAGACCGCTCCAGCCCAAGGCCCCTGGAATCCTAAGTATTAACAATAACTACCCAGCCTGTTTCTCTGCTGCTGGCCCTGCAGCAGATCTGACTGATGTATGAGCCCTTTCCCCCATGTTGGAGGGCACTAATGCGAGAATCTCTGATTAAAATTGGACTTTTTCCATGACTTGGCAATAATGAATTGGGCTGCAATGAACAATCTGGTACGAATATCTTTATTGCCAAATGATTTTTGGTCCTTTAGATATACACCTAGAAGAGGAATTGCCGGATCAAACAGCAGGTCTATATTTAGATCCCTGAGTGTTCTCCAAACTTCCTTCCAAAAGGAACGTACTAGCTTGCCTTCCCACCCACAGTGCAGAAGTGTTCCCTTTTCTCCACATCCACGCCAACATCTGTAGTTTAGGGATTTTGTGATGTGGGCTATTCTTACTGGAGTTAGATGGTATCTCAGAGTAGTTTTGGTTTGCATTTCTCTGATGATTAGTGATGATGAGCATTTTTTCATGTGTCTATAGACCATGTGCCTATCTTCTTCAGAGAAGCTTCTGTTCATGTCTTTTGCCCACAGTGAAATGGGATCACTTGTTTTTTTGTTTTTTGGGGGTTTTTTTTAGTAATTAGTTTGAGTGCTCTGTGGATTCTGGTAATTAGACCTTTGTCGGATGTATAACTTGCAAAAATCCTCTCCCATTCTGAGGGCTGTCTATGTGAAAAATGAAACACAACTATAGCCTAAGGATGAAGGAGGGAAGGGAGGGGATAAGACAATAGAGGGAGGGTTGGTAGGGGGTCACACCTATGGAGCATATTGCAAGTACAGATGCTACGGATCTATCAGGTGTGGAGCATAAATGTCTTAATCCTGTAACTGGGTAAAAGTGGTGAAGGCTATGTTGCTTAGTAGGATGTAAGCATTCCAATTTGTACAAATAATCAACACATTGAATCCGATAATGGCATAAATGTATTTATGATCTATGTATGAATGACTTAATAAAAAAAATAAGAAATAAAAATCCAAATTTTTATTTCTTAAAAAAAATAAAATAAAATAAAATTGGACTTTTTGTTCTCCTAGGGGCGTTCATACCCCGGTGTAATGAGGAGGGCTATTACAAAGCCACACAGTGCCACGGCAGCACGGGGCAGTGCTGGTGTGTGGATAAATATGGGAACGAGCTGGCTGGCACCAGGAAACAGGGCGCTGTGAGCTGTGGTGAGTAAGGCCTTCTGTCTCAGCCCCACGGTGGCCTGTGGTCCTCCCTGTGTAAGGATCTCAGCAAAAGAATTGCAAGAAGTAGCTCTGGCCTGGTGTGAGTTTACAGTGGAGACATAATGACCCTGACATCATGGGAGCTAACGCCTCGCTAGCTTTGAAAGTAGCAGGAACTTGCCATGACCAGAGGGAAGGACAACAGTTTTTGAGAGTCAGAGAACTATTACAGGCAAACAGCAACTTAGACTGCTATCAGTTTCACTTAGAACTATAAGCCTCCTGAGAAGGTAGAAGCATCTTGAGAATTCTAGGGCTCATACCAGAACCAAGTTTATAGTCCCTGCTCCAGAGACTGACCCCAGAGGGGCAGGATGCTTTTTTAACATTTAGAAGAGAAATTGCATGGTTTTGCCTCACAGTTAAGTTGCATGCAAAGGGAACCCCTGACGTGGGTCATCAGGTATAAGCAGAAACAAACCTTAAGCCTTTTCATGTTTCAGAAGAGGAGCAGGAAACCTCAGGGGATTTTGGCAGTGGCGGCTCGGTGGTCCTGCTTGACGACCTAGAGGATGAACGGGAGCTGGGACCAAAAGACAGAGAGGGGAAGCTGCGGGTGCACACCCGGGCCGTGACGGAGGATGACGAGGATGAGGATGACGACAAAGAGGATGAGGTTGGGTACATATGGTAGTGCCCACAAGAAAGAGGACATGAGTTTTGCACAAAATTGCAAGTCACTTCCTATCCTGCATTTGTATCTAAGACTCCAAAGCACCAAGGTCTCTTCTCTGTTGCTCTCTATACCCGACCCGAGGTTTGGAAGACAACTGCTTGTTCCCAGAACATTCTGATTTTGCATAGGTTTGTGTGGGAGAAAGGGTGTTTTGTTTGGGGTTTGGGGGGGACAGGGACATAGCTGGCTTCATTAGAGCCTCCTTTTCCCTCCCATGAGATTTTTGCAACACGCATGTGATTTATGTGGAATTCTGACAGTGCAGGGAGCCCCCACCCTCTCAAATGTCAAAGACCCTTTTTGATCACCCACACTGGTGGTTATTGCAGCATGGTTCCCAGCCTTACAGTGTCTAAGTGCTTTTCTTGTGTCCTGTAGATGTCGTGAAAAGAAACACCACACTGTACCTTTTCCTCCCTGAACCCACCATTCCTGGTGTTTATTAAAAATTAGTTTTTCACATCACTATATCTGGCTTCCTACAAACAATAGCCTTAATTCAGTCAAGAGTCCCTTTGGGGAATTCATTTTATTTATTGAAAATTGGTGTCTGGATGGGATGCTTCTCTCTGTACACACATTAAAATGTATGTATGTACAGAAGAGAATGTGTGTACGTATACACCCTGCACACACCTCTCAGAAAAATTAAAAACTCATTTGAGACACAATTATAAATTTGTCAGCTTGTCCAGACCGGGAACAAAATTTCGAGAATCAGAAATTTGCATCGAAGTCCTTTTTTGCACTACCAGTTGGCACTTCTAGCCTGAGGCTGAGGAGGTTTCTTCTCTGTGCATCAGCAGAGTTGCTGGAAGCCTCTGTCTGCCTAAATCGCTTTCCTCGCAGAAGCCATGTGACTCCCATGTGGGCAGCTTCACAAGCCATCTCTCTCACTTATGCTCAAAGCCCCCTTGGGCAGCACAGTCCCATCTGCAGCAGGCTCCTTCCTTCCCCACCTACTCAAGGGCTTTTTCTAAGGCACACCCACATATCTTTTCTCTAAGAAGGTAGTACCAAGGTTTTCCTTAAGAGAAGAAAATTGAAAATCCTGAACTCAACGTTTTGCTTTTGCCCTCTTTCTGTCTATAATTCATGATGAGGGCATACAAGTTGTAAAGTTATATGGATTTTTTTAAAAACCAACCATCGTAGGCAAACAATCCCAAAGGGAGGCTTACAGAAAACATCATAGTAGTATGTTGAATCTAGCACTAGGTTCTTAAGAGCTAATTCCGTACCCCCCAAATATGAGGATACTAATGAAGAAAGCCTTTCACTATTGTTTTTCTTTTCCCTAAACTCACTGGAGTCTAGTTCAAAGTCAGTAAATTTACCATCTCCACATTTTTTAGGATTTCTCTCCCTATCGATCAAGCTCTCCCAGATACAAGTACCAAAGAGTCATCTTCAAAGTGGCCCTATTCAGCTCAGTACCATTCCTTCAGCTCCTGCCCCACCGGGTTCCCATACCTGGATGCCCTAATCAGCCACCCAGCAAGGCTCTCTGGTCCACATTTCTGCCTCTTGCCTTTCCCATGCACTTCAGCCTGTCTACAAGACAAACATATAAACCCAGGCAAGAACTATGTTCAGCCAAACCATGATTACTGACAGCTGACCAATCTCCCACCCCAAATTGTTATTTGACTGTACCAAGCCACTTTAAATTAGCATTTTTCTAGTCCTCGCGTTGGCTAGACAATAGAGTTGGTTTCAGATGGGAAATGCACGTACTTGACATAGCTAAGTCCTTTGGCCTGGCAGAGATAAGTGCAGCCACGACACTGAGGTTTTGTACTTGCTTTCCCCAGAAAGACACCTTAGGCAAGCATACTGGGATCTCAACTCCATCACCTCTGTTTCAATATTTTTTTTTCGCTTGAACAAAACTTTGATATCATAATTGAGAAAACAGGTGCTTAATTGTAGCTGAATTACAATAAAGTATATAAAAAATCAAGATGTTAAAAAATCTCAGTTTAGATCATCAAAGAAAACCTCTATTACTATCTCCTCTGAGCTTGGAAAAATGCACAAGAGAACAAATTAAAATCGACAAATTGATTTCACTTAGAAAAACTTTGAGGCACAGGGTGAACTACTGATTTTAATTTGCTTAATTATCTTATGACAAGTGTCAAATTAAGATGACACTTAAAGATCCTTAGCATTAACTTAATGATGGAGAAGAGTGCTCAGTAGACAATTCCCAGTAAGGTAATAGGATGCCATTTTCAGAAACATTCCAAGAAGATATTTTGATTCATTAAAATATTGCATAAAAAGCTCTCCTAAGACTGGAACCCCAAATCAATGCAGGAACATTAACACTACCTTCTATGCCTCACTTTGGCAGGATGGCATTGGGTTTTTAAAAGATATTTAGTATTTGCACAAGTACTAAAGATTAGGTTGAGTTATCTTGTCTTCAGAAGTAGAATTTTGTTTTTCTGTTTTTGGAAGGAGCCCTTTAGTTACAGTGGCCATGTATACATAAAATATTGATTTGTTTTAAAGAATAGTATTGTGATAATCCAGTCCCTTGAGACAGGTATTAAGTTGAATCCTCACTAACTCACTTTTGAAAAATCTTGAGTGAATAGTTTTATTCCACAAATAGTTCTTTTACCATTCCCTTGCCATCTAACTTAAGTCCCAGAATTTTCTTCCACCATGGTTGGCTATCTTGCATCCTAATGTCTTTTGTTTCTACAGATATTCTAGCCATGGAAATACCTTACACTGAATTTGAGATTTTGTGTCATTTTCCCCTTCTTTATGCCCATTCCTCTACCCATAGCAGCAAGCAACAACATGCCTGTCTAGGTCCGCCCCTGCTCTTCCCAAGATGCCATTGTTTGTAACCTCAACCACACTGTACAGTAACATCCCAGTGGCCATTCTACAGTGGGTGGTTTTAGTCTTTTTATATACCTTTTTCTCAAAGTCACTGATGTCTGTCCCTGTTAAATGTGTAACAAGAGCCCATCAAATCCTGAGCGTCAAGTTTGTTGTCCCTATTGTAGATGAAATAGTGATGTAGCAAAACCTAGTAAATTCTGAATGCTATTCCACATAGACTTATCTGGAATGTGAACATGACTCTTGGGTTAATAGTAAATACTTAACTGTAGTCCTGAGTAGGTGCATTTCTGTCTGTCTCAATAAATTTTCCTTTGTCTGCAACATGTGAGTGTGTTTACTTCATTGGCTTGGGTGTGCACTTACCAGGCCACATCCACACACAGTCACTTGACAACAGTATGAACTGACACAGGGATTGCCAAGGAGGCCATCAGGCAGAGCTTCTTATCATGGTGGGGGTCAGTCTGCTGGTGGTCAGCCTGGTCCCCCCCAGCACATGCAATCTAGAAATATCCCACCTGACACCTCCCCCGCCAGCTGTATTTGTGCCTTTCTCAGGCTCCAACTTTATTCCTTACCCATCAGATTTCACTCTTGTCCATCTTGTTTACAACCTTAAACTTTTAAAGTTATGCTTATCCCTCCCCCCCCCAGCCAGCTATTCTGTAGTTCTCTTGGTGGGGGGAGGGGAACACCTCTCTTCCCTTTACAGGGACCCTGAGTTCCTCTCTGTTCGTGAATTAACACACCAGATGCTTGTTGAACATCAGAATGCACCCAGATTGGAAAAGGAATGATTTCTTTTTCACCTCTGTCCACATTTGGACCAATGTGTCTATGACTTAATTATACCCTGAGTGAGTAATTTTACCATGAGCTGCCGTAGAAACTCTTATGAATAATTCCATCCCTTCACCCTGTGGACCAGATTTTACAGACAATTTCAGATTGACAGTTCAAGAAAAGTTGCTTCGTAAATTCACAAGATAACTAATGTCAGGAGAACAATAGCCAATATGCCGTCTCCAAGGTAGTTAAGGAGTACTTTAAAGAGTTGTAGGTGTTTGTGAGCACACTCCACATTCCTCTCAAATCAGCACAGGTTCATGGGTAAAGCCTCACATTTCTCCTAAAGTTACACCTTCATGGATGCCACTTTGGCCCCTTTAAAGGCCAGGACCAAATGAAGGAGAACGGGAAGGCAGTTCTCCAGCTTGATTATACAGCTGAGTAAAAAGGTCACAGTACTTTCTTAAGACGCTTGCTTGTAAGATTTGCTTTGATATATTGGTTTAGGCAAAGAGGAAGATATCAAAATTTATTCCTTAAATAAGCCTTTGCAGATTAATTGGTAGATAAATTAGTCAGGTGGATGAATGCCACTATGGGCATGAAATGCATGCCGTTCCAGGAATGTAAAAGTGAAACCTGGTACCTGCTTGGGAAAGTTACCACCTCCCTTAAGAAATTAAACACATAAATAATTGTTATGATATAGGTGGATGGATGTCATAACGATGGCAATGGCTACTCAAGCCTTGTTAAAGCTTGCCTCTCTTGGTTCTTTTTATCCGTCATTTCCTGGCTTTCCTCCTACTTCCCTGGATGTTCCCTTTCAGTTTCCTATATATGTTTTGTTCAAACAGTTCTGTTAATTGGTATCCTTCAGATCAGTGTCTGGCCCATTTCTTTTTTGCTTTACCTGCTTTCTCTGGCCAGTTTTTTTGTTTTTGTTTTGTTTTGTTTTTAGGCCTATGGTTTCAAATATCTCCTTTATGCTGAAAAGTCCACAACCTGTATCTTAAGTGTAGATTTTGCCTTCTGCTTCATTTCAAAACAATCATCTGACATTTAGATAATTCTACTTAAATTCACATTGACACCTCAATTTCAAACCTTAAAATAATCAAAATGATAGAAGGAAATAATCAGTGAATAGACCTATGACAATAGGCGTCAGCAGGCTTTTCCTAAGTCCTAGCTCACATGAGCCATAGTGGAAAAGACTGATACATTTGCCTCCATCAAAATTAATAAGGTATCATAAACAAGCTTAAAAGATGAACATGAGACTAAAGAAGATATTGTTGACATAAAACAACTGACAGATTAAGGCATAAAGTATTTGGTTTTACAACTCCATGAGAAAAATATAGCCCAATAGAATAAGGGGCAAAAGATAAAAATAAGCAATTCATAGAAGACAAATAAATGACAAAGCTATATCCAATCTCATCCGTGAGCAGAGAAATGCAAGTTAAAGCAATGATATATTAGTTATCACTCAGAAAACAAAGTTTTGATCACCTCAAGTATCAAGAGTGTGGAGTGAGAGTACTTGAGAATACTGTATAATCAAAACAGCTGTGTAGGGGGCAGTTTGACAATAAGAGTGTCCAGGATCCAAGAATTCCATTTCTCATTGACTGCTTCTGGAGATGTAAAGGTATATCCATTGTAGCATCATTTGTTAGAAGAGGAGATTTGCGGGAAAGCTAGATACTTATCAATGGGGACA